TTTTCGCTTCCTCATTTCTTCCTCACTCAACTTATTATATGCTGCCCGGGCAATGTCATTGTACTGCATTGAATAAATTAAGTCAAAAAACACTTTAGACTAAACACAAAATAATTGCTCGTTTCACTATTTTTCCCTTAGGCACCCCATCAGTTCAATGATTCTTCAGTTTATTTTGCTAGGACAGCATACCTCGGTCAGCTTAACACCCTTCGCCGAAACCGTGTGTTGATACTCTAACCTGTCCACATTCAAAACTCCAAAGTTATATGTGCTATTTAGTACCATTATTTTTTTCTCAAATTCAATAATCTTACCTGAACTTCATCCATGGATTCAATGGTGGGATTGGTTCTGTGACCTCACTTGTTCCCGCTGTAACCAGTTCTTCCTCCCCACCTAAACGATCATTCCTTTTACTGCTTCTTTTCCTTCCCATCCTGCCCCTGAACAGTCAACATTGTAATGCATTATAATGATGCCAAATCTAACCTGCCAAGACCTTACGCAAGCACTGGCCACTTACCTATTCGATGAAGTGGATGCTGCACCGTGTTCTGTACCACCACTTGTTTCGGCAAGTTCTTCTCTGTCTGCTTCCTGAAGTGTGCTTCCTGCTCGTGTTCTTGCCATGTAAACTAATGTTTTTAACAAACATATTGCACTTCAGTTCCAAAATTTTATTTCCAGCCACAGTTATAACATATCATGAAGTACTGCTAAACATAATATATGAGCATCAAATATTAGTCACGCTAGTTATAGTATAACCTGTAACATTTTTTCTCACACTCAGTAACTCATTCTTCACAGTTTGTTATTTATTCCAACTGCCACTAATCTACATAATCTGTTGTTCTACCTATCAGATTGTATTTCATCCATCAATTTCTTCTTCTATTTATTATGCTACTGTACAATACCAATGCAGTAGAATAGGGGGCCATCCAAATTTATAGTATCTTCATGAAATTCTATAGACCAGTTCTATTATTGTAACTTCTGATCTATTACATGTAACAACTATCAAAGATGATGTCCAACCAGAACAATTATTGTACAAGTCATCTTCCTTTTCACAATTTGTTTGTCTTATTACCAAATTTTCATCCCTCATTTAGTCATTTCATAATCTATTCCCATGCCTATCAAGTTCGATTCAATCACCTTCTCCTTTATTTATCACACTCTTCAACAATATGAATGAAGCAACAAACCCGTTAAACAATTTTACGTGTATGTTCATCCAATTTTACAGTGCACTTCTGCTAGTGTCACTACTAAATGACTGCATGTAATGACTATCCAACATGATGTGCACCAACAATAACTAGTAAGATTCTTAACCGTTATTCCACACTGACTATGCTAAACCTCATGATTTGTTATTCCGTCTGCCTCACATTGCCAACTTATAACCTATTCTCGTACTCATTCACTTCCAACCTAGAAACTTGTCTCTCTTTATGCAACTAAACCAATAACCTGTAACATCAATGTAGAAGAAAATATGAGAAGCACAACTGAGTACAAAACAGTAAAACTCTGTTATTTCTCTGTACCTGTTAAACCACAACATGTAACAATTATCCAACACTGTGTTCATGCGCACACCCTAATACAATAAATTTACACCAATCAAGACCCAAATACGACATCTCTATTTCAAAATAACATTTCCATTAGCAAGTATGAGACGCACAACTCAGTACAAAACATTTGAACTCTGTTATTTCTATGTACCTATTCAACCACAACATGTAACAATTATCCAACACTGTGTTCGTGCACACGAACTAATACAATAAACTTACACCATTCAAGACCCAAAAACGCCATCCCAATTTCATGATAACATTTTTATTCTGTTTCTGTCATGTTCCCGTTGATCCACAACTTGCATTACTTCTCCAGTTTTGTGTTTATGCATAACAACGAATGTAGCAGTGTATGCTACACTCAACACGTTGTACTACCTACTTACCGCATACTAATTATAATCTGCACCCATTTTTTCAATACTAACTTCCGAACCCATGCACACATTTTCTCAAGCAGTTGTGCCGCACGATTTCCCCCTTCTTTCCCACTCTCACTCTGTCATGCTAAAAAACTAACACATAATACTCCTATCATGCTGCACTTACTCATTACTATACACAAAATTGTGCTCACGTGATATCCCTCTAAGCGATCATCATACTGTACGCCAACAACATCCACAAGTAAGGTCCTTCAACAAGCATGTCAATTCACACACGTTACTACATCATTGTAGGACTCAAAAAAATTTGAATACCTGACTGATTTTCGGTCGTTCACTACTCCCGCGCCTACGATCTTCCACTCTTCAACCTTGGGTTCACCTTTCTTCTTCTTATAATAAATCCGAATCACCAGAAATTTGTCCACCACTCCACCACTTCTTGCTTCTCCTTGCTATTTTTTTCCGTGTCCAATGTTGCACTTCCACAGCTTTTCGCAATGTCACGCCGGAGAGTGTTGCCAATCTCGTATTTTCCCCTCTTATTTCTCCCTTCGTGGCTTTTCGCAAGCAACTGCTTCGTCTGGTTTGGGTGGGAGTCCAAGTGCGCCTTTTCATTTTTGACATTTCGCTTTGGGCGGGACTTTGCTTACTAGTGGTCATAACGTTCCGTTTCTTGCCGTTACGGTCAGCAGAGCATAACCATTTTTTTGACTGTCTCACTTAATAAAACGACGTCGTTTTGGGCCAAACTGAAGCCTTTTGACGTGGTTTATTTCTGGCCTTACCTTTCTTTTTGTGAGACAACAGCTCGGGAACGGTCAATCTGAGGACCGTTCCCGCCCCTAATCCCACACTTGCCAGGCACGCCATAATTACCATATCTTCAAGACACTCCAAAAAGTACAAGGCAACGTGAACAATAAATCTGTACATGACTTATGCCTATTTAATAACTTAATTCAACACTTAAATTTAATAGATTCAGATCTTAATATGTTCAGACATGTTTGTTAAAAAAAATTGAATATCTAAATTAATTAAATGACACTAAGTATCTTAAACAAAACTTACTCCCAAATATAAGTGATAAAGTATTCACTTATTATTGAATGTGATATACACTCAAATATATTTAATTTAATACTTAACAATTGAATAATTTAATGGATTCAGACTTCAAATTTAAGATTTCAAATTTCAGTTTTATCAAATGCACCTTTAGGGAATTCACAATGGGTAACGTAGTTCACCGTAAGTGATTAGCCTGAAAATTATTCTTATGGGCAAAGTCTTACTAACAAAAGAAAAAAAAATGTTCATTGATTGCCAATGATGCTCTATGAATTATTTTCTAAACAGTTTGGTGTCCCAATTAGCTAACATCAGATAAGTCTTTTTGAATCCGACTAATTCATGTGTTTTAAATCAACTGATGCCAAAACTTGCTAATGTTGATCCACATGTATAAGATTCGTTAGTAGGATGTTATTCTTGTTTCTTGATTCTTGATGACATTTTTTAGGTTATACCTACAGAGTATTAAATAACTATTTAGTTTAGTTAGTGAATTAGAAAATACATTGGAGACATGAAGGGTTCGTGTTCTATTTTAGTCCTAAAAATTTTAGGGACGGGCTAAATTCATATCCTCTTGTCCTAAATCCACACCCTAAAATGTTAATATGACGTTAAAAACCTTGGCATCTTGATAAGGACACTGCCACAAGCAATCAAAGTAGGAAATGAGACGTAAGCACTTACGGTTTCCTTTTTGATTTTTTTCAAAATCCAAGTTTTCCTTCTGATTTTTTTTCAAAATCCAAATTTACGGTTGATTTGCTCGGGTTATAAGAATTTGGGCCTATCAATTGTATAACGTGTAAAATTTTAATTTCTGAATATGTAGTCACAGTTAGATTTAACCAGACTATGATATTCCTTGTTAAAAAAGAAAAATAATATTCCTACATTTATGTACAATCCTGTCAATGTTTTGGTTACTATATGATCAAATGCAGTAGAACTAGTTGTATGGAACATTAGATGGTCCTTTTCTATTTTTCAACATTAAACAGTAATATTTATGTGAGATAATCGGCATAATTTTTCGATAGATGCCTAAGTGTTGTGAGGGCAATTCATGTTATTGTATGTTATTAATCAAAAGATAATTTTAGAATCTAAAAAGGTCATAAATAAAGGGTGAATTACATATAATCCCTCTATGGTTTCGTCTATTGCCACATGCCCCTCTAACATTTCAAAATATCTACTTCACCTTCAATGATTTTATGTAAAGTGGAAAGTCAATAAACAATAGACTATGTAATGTCATTAATTGAAATGTCAATAGTACCCTTATTTAAATGTTCAATTAATCGACAGTTTAATTACCTTGTATAAAAGTATAGGGGAATTACATGGATAAATGCAAAAATCTAAAGGGGTAAAGTGAATATTTATACATACCATAAGGGGATTACATGGAGATTAAAATTTTATCACACACACTTTTAAAAATGCGTTTGATATGTAACTGATTGTGTATTCCATTCATTTTTCACTTTATATAAAATCATAGGAGGTTATGTTTCTATTTTGAAACCTTAGGTGGTCATTTGGCATTATGTCAAAATACAGAGCCGTTATAAGTAATTTATCCATAAATAAACTAATAAATAATAAGGGTTTTAATGTCTTATTAGTGCTTTGGGTGTGATTTAGTATGGGTGGGCGTGGAATTAGCTCCTTTCAAAATGTTAAATGCTTATACCCTTTTAATATGTAAAGAAATTAACCACATATTTTAGTTTAACAGGTAAATTATTGGTTTCATACATCATCACTAATTATTGTAGTTTAATCCATCTTCAGTCGTATTAAGCTCATTATCGGTTGGGTTATAGATGGTTGGAGGCTGGTTTTCTGTGGCTCTATAAGAAGGCCGTAATCCTTGGAATACACCAACAAGATATGCCAATATATCACTGAGTTTTCTTTGCAAACAAAAAACATGGCATCCCTACTTTCAAGTTGGTCTTCAAATCTACAATGCTTGCCTGCAAATTATGTTGTGCCTGCAGCCAAAAGGCCAGGAAAGCTTGCTCCAATAAGCATGGACATACCGGTGAATGATCTAAGTGATACAAATCGAACTGATTTAGTTCAGAAAATCATGAAAGCCAATCAAGAGTTTGGAATATTCCAGGTCCATTATTTCATTTAAATACACATACACATTTACATGCATACATATATAATCGCATAGATGTACATTTGTGTGTACTAAATGTGGGGATTTAATTTAGTCTTTTTTTTTGTCGATCATCAATTCCTACTCCTATTTTTATTCCTACTACCATTTCTATTTGTATTCTTACTCTAATCTATACTAGGAGAAGACTCAATTGAGCCAATGGGATTTAGAAGAAACGAATCCCACATCTAGACTTAAGCGGTATACTATTGCACACCCTTTACATTTAACTGCAGGTACAAAGATTTAAATCCCTAGTCTGCAATCAAACCATCACCTTAGTCCATTAGCTTTTCTTTTCATAAATACCCATGTTAAAAATTTTAATGACCATGCTGTGTTTCATCATATGCAATGGTTCTTAAGGTTACTTATGTTAAACCAACCCTATATTTTTGAAATATGTTAATTTATACAAGTAGAAGTATTGCAGGTTTACTATTTTGTTTACTAGTGGAAAAGCACCAATGTATTAAGAAAAAGAAGAATAATATGACAAAGAAACAAGGACATAGTTTTGTTGTTGCCAGAGTTAAATTAGTCAAGCTAGCAGTTCTCTCGAAGAATAAAACTCTGCACTTGAAAAGCCTTCCAACGTAAAACTTTTGTAGTGAGAAAATAGAATTTTTTAAGTTTAATTTTTTAAACTTCAATAATACAATATTAAAACGCCTCTGTATAGCAAAAAAAAAATCAATTGAAAAACACAGGTGATTTCAAAGATTACATAAAAATAATAGAATTCAATGTATCTTCTCAAATAAATAAATCGAGTGATCTCTAGGTAAGATTCAAGTCTTCCTTATTGATTAATAAAATCAAGGCTTGCATCCCACCCGGACGTACGAGGTTTGCCTTTTAAAAGAAAGTAAATTGGGTGGTTTTAGAATTTTACACAGTAAAAAATAGTAAATAGGAAAAGAGCTTCCAGTTGACTAATTACTTATACATGATGTAATTTCTCAAGTATCTGAGTCACAAGTAGCAATTGACACATTAAACTCGTTTTAAGACTAAAATGCAACAAATACTGTCAATAGGTATAGAAGTTAAGCGACAAGAATCTTATTCCGTTTCTTTTTCTCGGCCATTGCACATAACTTGTTTCAGTTTTTTGTAATTCAAAGTAACTCCAGTTTCATAGTAGTTCGAATATAACTTTAAGCAATTCCTTTTGTTGTAAAAAATAATATATCAAAAATAATATATCTATCATATAGGACAGTTATAAATTCGCTTAGTACATTCTTAAATGGCTTTTCCTTCTCTATTAATTTGAATAGAAAAAGTACTTGTTTATAATCATTTCGTAAAGGAACATGCAGCTGCAATTCACAAGCTGCTAGACGACAAGTGTTACATATAAAAGTTAAACATAATTTTATTTGCCTATGATGAATGCAATGCAATAGGTGATCAACCATGGAGTTCCGGAAAATTTGATGACTGATGCAAAGAATGTTGGGAAAGAATTCTTTGCCATAGCTGCTGAAGAAAATGCGAAGTTAACAACTGATGCTGCACAAGACACCGGTTCTGGAATTTTTAGCCCCAAAGAGTTCGCATACTGGAAAGACACTTTGCAACACCGGTGTCATCCTCTTGACAATTTCATCAAATCTTGGCCTGATAAGCCAGCAAGATACAGGTACTTATGTACCATCATAGTTTCCTGTAGTTCTTCTGATTCTTGAGATTTTGGAAAAACTAATGTTTATAAGCCTTTATAAAGTGATGTTCTCTAGCTAACATAGTAACTATATATTTTTGTCTTAATCAGGGCCAGTTTTGATTTTGCTTTAAAACTATATTTTTATGAAGCACTAATTGCAAACTTTTCAAATTTGATTGGCTAAGGAAGTAGCTTTTCAAATTTCAGAGAAACTGTAGGACCATATACAGCTGTTTAAAACTATATTTTTATGAAGCACTAATTGCAAACTTTTCAAATTTGATTGGCTAAGGAAGTAGCTTTTCAAATGTCAGAGAAACTGTAGGACCATATACAGCTGAAGTGAGACAGTTGGGCAAGAGAATTTTGGATCTGATCTATGAGGGATAAGGATTTACCGAGGAAAACTTCGACAGTTATGACTTAACCATGATGATCCACAATTATCCACCATGTCCACACCCTACTTCAGCATTGGGAATAAGAGGACACTATGATACAGTCGTCTTAACTTTGCTTCAGCAAGATGTTTATGGGCTACAAATACTCAAGGATGGCCAGTGGATTGGGGTTGAGCCTCTTCCAAATGCATTCGTTGTAAACATAGGTTTTTCCCTTGAGGTACACATCCATCCTCGCTGCAAAATATTATACATGTGTATGAAATTCTTGCCTATTACTCCAACTAAGCCCTTCACTAGTGTCATTTCATTTTTCGGACTTAAGAACATAAAAACGCTAGCTGAAGTATTATTATTCACCTTGAGGAATATGTTCTATATACTTTAACAAGTAAACTTCTGAGGGGATTATTAAAGAAAGAAATACTTAAGATGCCTATTGAAAACCCTGTGAATTTTCATGAAAGTAGGATGGTTCAAGTTGGTCGCACTCCTATATATCCTTATATCCCTAGATGAATGACTGGATTTGAACAGACACTGAAACACGGAAATCTGAAACTGCATTTTATATCAAAACATTTAAACTTGTCAGGTCTCGTGTTTTTTTTGCAGGTGGTCAGCAATGGAAAGCTATTGATTTTGAAACACTCGAGCGTTGCTTCCATGTCAGCATTCTTGCTGAAGAGAATCTCAATATATTCTTTGTATTGGAAGCCTCTGAACATTGGTGGATTGCTTGGACTAACAACTGATTTTGCAGGTTCAATGGTCCTGTCTAAAGGAAAACAAAAAAAGCTGGCCAATGAAGTCCTAGAACACCTCTGAATTCGTGACGACTCGATGGAAAGCTAAATCAGTTGTTAGTCCAAGCAATCCACCAATGTTCAGAGGCTTCCAATACAAAGAATATATTGAGATTCTGTTCAGCAAGAATGCTGACATGGAAGCAACGCTCGAGTGCTTCAAAATCAATAGCCAAGCTACCAAATGATCGATGTTGTCTCTTGGATAATGTATTCTTCTGCATGCCTCGTTGAATGATGTTTTACCTGAAATTGTTTCAGCACAATGTTATATGCTAAAACAAGTTACCTCCAGTGTTTATAAATAATGCTAGATTCATTTCGTGTGTCCTTTGGTCCTATAACTTCTTCTGCTTGCCCTATTTCAACAATAATTAGGTGGAGTTCTTTCGTTAAAATAGTTTAATTACCTCGAGTGTTTACTTATGTCCTTCCACCCCCCCCCCCCGGCGGTTGGTGTCATAACATAGATTTGAATGTGGCAGATCGTTATCAAAGATCAACCACTAGCCAACCACCAGTTTGTTAGTGAGACATTCGTGGCATTTAGCTAGACGAATTAAGCAGGTAAATGTTGCAACTCCAACAACGTCCTGAGCTTGGGAAAGCACTAGAACATCATGATAAGGGCCTCTACAATTAACCCTGACAATTGCACATTACAGTGTAGTTGCTGCAAACTAAATTATAGATATTAAAATAATAAATGCAGACACTAACACAGTAAAAGAACAAATTTTCTCTTTCACTGAAATTTGTGCCTTGAAACACAACAAATATACAATACACAATACCTCGCATGAGCCTATACAGACATTCTAGTACCAAATGTACAATATAATCGCGCGCTCTACGAGACCCGCGAACAACCCGCATCAGTCGATAACTAAGAAAGCGTCAAATGACAAGGTAAATGGCCACTCCTGTCATGTGAGGCGCCTTTTTAAGAGCAAATTTGTAAGGCCAACTTGATAAAACCAGACAAATATCTCACATAAATCACAAACAGATTCTAGCACCAACACTAGTTAGAATATAGGGAGTGCCACCCTTCAAGCCCGAACTTGCCAGGCACAACACAATTACCATATTTTCTTTGGGAAAGGAAAGAAAATTCTTTCCCAGCATTCTTGGCATCAACCGTCAACTTTTCTGGTACTCCATGGTTGATTACCTATTGCATTGTATTCATTATTTAAGGCAAACAAAATTATGATTAACTTTTAGATATAACACTTGATACAATTCTTGATACGCCAAGGTAAAATCACAAGCTCTCGACCTAGGCTAAGGATCAATGTTTGGGGATGGAGTTCGTAATCAATCATGAATAGCTCGAAATTAATTAGAATAAGTAGATCAACGCCACAATCAAGTTAATACTTGATTGATAAGTCAATGAAACACCTTAACCCAACTCTAAAATGTTCAAGATGGCTTTCACAAGCCCAAAAGAGCTCTTTCTCTCACGAAAGAATTCTGAAAAATTTTCTCAAAATTTGATTCTCCGCTAAAAATGTTAGAAACTAAGGCCTTTTATAGTCTTTCACATGACCAACTCCTAATCCAACTAGAAGCACAACCAACTAAACTCTTAACCCTTAGAACTAACTCTAGTTCAGCTATTAAATTAGGTCAACATGACCTAAGCCTTTTATTTAACTAAATTAAGTGACTTAAATGACTAAACTCAAAGCTAGAATTAACCAAACGACATGAACAATGGAAACAAATGACAAATAGCTAATAAACTAGACCATTCAGCCAAGACACAACGTGATGACCCTAGTTTGATGCAAATGGACTTGATAAGCTTCAAACCAACTACATTCTATATCATTTCCCTTCTCTTGAAAGTGATTTGACCACAAATCGATGCACGAAGGGACAAAAGAAGAGTTACATGCCGTTGGGACAACCTCATGACGAACACAATCAAGAATTGCATCCAACACAAGGACCACCATGTGCAACGTTGGAAATGACTGATTGGAGCACCTTGAACCTCACGAGCCAGCTTCAATGCTCGTGTATTGACGGGTTTTTGATATAAGTACAAGTTTAATTCTGAATTTTACCCATTTGGACTACAAGTATACAGGTCAAATTAGTGAGGGCAAATATCTGGTCGATCCCACGGAGAGCGATTTTTCAAGTACTAGATCCTTACTTACTCTATTATTTAGACTAACAATAAATTGGAGCAGAAAAAGTTATAGCTACTATTAACTAACTCTAACTAGATTCTTGCAAGATACAAAGGAGAAAATTCACTAAAAACTGGAGTCTAGAGATATAGATTCCACTTATGGTATAAACAACACAAATGAATAGATTTACCTCTTGTTATAACCCTTGTTTAACTAGGAATTCATTTCCAATATTACCAAATCTCATTCTCATGACGAAATGGCCTAGATATAGTCTAGTTTTTCCTATTGTCATGGTGAATAACTAAATCTACTTTTGTGTCCTTCATGAAATGCAAGCTAATCCACATAAGTGTACCTTTATTCTCATGAGTCCACTACTCAAGCTCTACTCATGTTGTTCCATCATTATTACTAATTTTCATTGAATAATAACAACTAAGAGCTTGTTATTGGTGATCAAGCAACATCAAATTATAAGCATGCACAAATAGACAAGTTAATACAAGGTGTAACAAGTATAAATCATATTCACTTCATGTTAAATAGCCATAAGTTTCATCTACTTCCTAGATCTAGAGATTTAGCTACTTATGTAAGATATAATAAGAAAACACATAGTTTCATTGCATGAACACATCATGAATCACAAGTTAAAGATAGAAAAGGAAAGCTTGGCCAAAATAATGAAGAAGCTCCCAATGATCTTCATTTTTTTCAACAAAATGGTGTACAATGAAGTCTCCAATTATTCTCACCAAAAAGTGCTAGCTAGAGAGAACAAGACAAGACTAACTTCTAAGTTCTCCTATGCTAAAATCTGATATGAGCTCCCTCTAATATGTTCTACTCTCTTCTTCTAATAATTTTACCATCCAATTGTTAAGAGAGTCAAAAATGTGGGATTTGGACAAGACATAAAGCTCCTTTCCTCTTCCTTTTTGCATCAGAAGCATGTGCAGGCGAAATTCTCTCTCCAACCTATAGCTGGAAAGTAGTATAAAAACAAGGCAAGTGGCTGAGCAAGTCACTGAAATCATGCTACAATACGCAACTTGAGAATACGCGACTTCACCCACGTTTTCTCAAGTCGCATATTCACTTTTGTGAATTTGGCCTCATTTCAACTGCTATTTACTCTATGATGAAGGCCGAACTAGCTTTTGTGCAAAACATGAACATTGTAGCCCCTTGCGTTAAATTTCCAATGCTTTAAGAATCATCCAATTTAGAGCTCTGTGGACTGAGATATGATCGAAATACCATTGACTGGTCAATCCCCTGTTTCAGCTTTCGACCATACAAATAAGCTTCTGTGTTTTGACTTTTTGACCAGGAAAACAACAAAATTGGACTTCGATATCTTCATACCAAATGTAGATATATCTCTTAGATTCAAAATTCTATAAAGATCACCTCGATCCGATGTGTGTAACTCAAGATATTGCCAAAATACAAAGATGTGTCAAAAACTGTCTTCACCTGCATTTCTTCATTTGAATGTTTTGCACTTCATGTCTTTTTTTAACCACTTCAAATCATCAATTATCATCCAATTCTCTTCTTAATTCATATCCTTTGATGATTGAATTGGTAAACCTACAAAAACATGAAGTTCTTACCATTAAAATCCATAGAAATACAATGTTTGCCATTTAAACCGCAAAATGTATATTTTTACCAAAACCCTAGTTAATTAGTTACAAACCTACTTAAAAACACACCAAAATTAACTAATAAAATACACTTAAAAATACGTAAAATATACTCTTGTCAAGTACCCCCACACTTGAACCATTGCTTGTCCTCAAGCAATTAGAAATATAACCCAACAATGATTCAACATTTTGAACATGCAGAACGTGCGGTAGGGTTTCACCAGCGGCTGCTGCCTATGGCCGCCCTCTGGCTGGCTGTGGAGGGCCAGGGGGCCACTCCGACCACCAAGAAGTCTTTCTCTCAACTTTTCACGGAGCCAGCCAATTCCCCAATTCTTCTGAGACCAGTCTCAACGTTCAAAGGAGAGGCGGCAGTTGTCTTCTCAAAGGAGGAGGCAGACAGGTTGGCTGCTCCTTTTTGCTGGACTCTTGTGGGTAAGTTCTCCCATGGGCATCCCTCCCTGGAGGCTGTGCGGAAGTTTTTTGCGTCGCTCAACTTGAAGGATCACGTCTCCATTGGGCTGTTGGATTATCGGCATGTTCTGTTAAGGTGTGCGGCTGAGGCGGACTTCAACAAAATTTGGACGAGGGGTCTGTGGTACTTAGGGAAGCATCCGATGAGGGTATTCAGGTGGACAAGAGACTTCCATGTTCAACATCGTTTGCAGTGTCCGCGGCATGTTCGTGGGGAGGTCCGGCAGATTTGGAGCCTAGTTAGGGACCCTTCTAGGTTTTCTCATTGTTTCAGGGAAGCAAATAAGGTAGCAGATGCGTTGGCTAATGTAGGTGTAGCTCACCCTCATCAAGGTGTTCAGCTCTATGAGCACTGGAGTGGCTGGCCGCGGCTGGCCCGTGGTGGTGTTAGCCTCGATAGCATGGGGGTCCCTTCCTTTAGGATGGTACGAAACTCCTAACCATTGATCATCGGTCCTTTGATCTTTTCTCTGTACCACGACTTTTATGATGAATAAAAGCGGGGGTGGCGTCCCTTCCCTTTATCGGGGTTAGCCAAAAAAAAAAAAAAAAACCTCAAGTACTCATAATATCAAGTAAAGGAGATCCAATTATACTATAATTCTGACTAGTTCAACTCAATTCCTCATCCTTATCCAATTTTACAAACAAGTAACATATATGGTCAATAGAATGCTTTCTAAACCCATGATCATCTTCTTATTCAGCTTAGAGGGATTTATTCATATAATATAACTAAATATTACTCAAGTTATGAAAGTGACTTTTGACGTGAGGATCGACATTTTTAGATGAAGATTACCGGTTACTCAACATTTCACATACTCAAGTTGCCTTATATACTCTTGATTCGAGTACCGTTTTACGTGAAAGCCAACATTTTTAGATGAAAGCTCCCGGTTACTA